TTAAATGTTATGAACCTTATAACAATTATACACTTTAAAAATAATTAAAGGTTAGAGTGTCATATCTCCGATAACTCTCCGTCGAAACTAATTAATATTTTTATTTCAATCTACAGACTAAAAAATATTATAATATGAAAATACTTCGTCATCATATTTTTTTTATCCTTATCGTAAACCTACAAACTTAATACATTTTATCTTTTCCATTTTCATAAACCCATCTTTTCTATAGCATAAATTTTTTGACTATTTTTATTTTTTGTTAGAGGTAGAACACAAGAGGGGTTGGGGAGCCCTTAACCCCCCAACTTTTTATCCTTCTATGTATGATAAGAGGGGTTGGGGGAGCCCATGGCCCCTCAACTTTATATTCTTCTATATATGATAAGAGGGTTGGGGGAGCCCATGGCCCCCAGTTTATATATATATATATATATATATATATATATATATATATATATATATATATATATATATATATATATATATATATATTTATAGTTAGATTCGTTTGAGACGGTTTGATTTTGTGAGACCGTAAGATGTATTTTTTTATTTTTTATTTTATTTTTTTATTTTTTTTAGTTAATTCAAGTTCCGAAAATAATATTTAAAAAAAGAATTTTTGGATTTTTCCATTTATTTTTCATTTTAAAATTATTTTTTCGAATATGTACATTGTAATATTCTATTAGAATATTTCACGTATTTTTCAAAAAAAATGGGATTTTTTTTTTTATTTTTTTAAAATTTTTTTTAGTTAATTCAAGTTCCGAAAATTATATTTAAAAAAAGAATTTTTAGATTTTCCCATTTGTTTTGCATTTTAATTTTTTTTAGAATATGTACAGTGTAATATTCTATTAGAATATTTCACGTATTTAAAAAAAAACGGGATTTTTTTTAATTTTTTTTTAACTTTTTTTTTAGTTAATTCAAGTTCCGAAAATAATATTTAAAAATAAAATTTTTGGATTTTTTCATTTATTTTGCATTTTAAAATTATTTTTAGATTTGGTCTCACGGTCTTACAAATTAGAATGATCTCAAATGAATCGGAAACTATATATATATATATATATATATAAAACAATTCCTTTTATATAATACTCTTTTCTATCTAATGTCAATCATAATAATTCCAAGATATTTTAGAAAATATATTACATAACTCATACCACTCATATGCTGCTTGACCTTGTCATTACTTTTAGTATATCAATTTTAAATGAGGTTTTAGATTATGATGAAAAGGATATATATAATTAATAAAATTAATTATGTGGTTGAATTTAGTGCATCAAATAATATGAGTAATGAAACGAGTTACGTATTAGTTTTCTTCTATTATTTTTATTTGAAGATTTAAATTATGTTTACTTTTTTTTTTTTTTTTTTTTTTTTTTTTTTTTTTTTTTTTTTTGTACAATCATCTCTATTTAATGAATTCACATCCAAATAATCTAATAAGTAAAAATTGAAACAATTTTATTAACAACAAACCTTTCCATATATAAACAAACAATATTTGTTTATTTTAAGTTATATAAAAGATATAATGTCAAAAATACAAAATCAATATTCATGTATTTATATGGTTTTGTTTTAAAATATGGTTACATAGTAAAACTGAAAATAAGTTCTACATTGATTAACAATGTAATAATATATCTTATTGGTTGTACTGTTTAGATTGTTTGATGTATTATAACTTTGAACCATATTAAATTATATGGTTTTGTTTTGTTTTAGAATTTAGGTTTTGGCCCCCTAGCTGTAATGTTTGTGTTCTACCCATGTGTTAGACGTAAGCCACAATTGTCTTTTTTTAGACTTTTTATTTCATTTTCGTAAACCTAATATGATTAATTATAAAAAAATTATATGTTACTATCTAAAAGAAGTATAAAGTCATAATTTTTTTTTCTATGCCGGTTGATAAAAATATATTAGTTGCGATTGCTGGAAATACTAGGCCTACTAAAGGCACCAAAACAGAGGGAAAGTTAAGAGTTGTCATAGAATGGCTACCTCGATTTACTATTTGTACCTGTTATTATTATTTATTCTATAGTTTAAAAAAAGTATGTATATGTATAATTACAATATATTATAAAGTATAGATAAAACTTCAAAAATGGTCCCTATGGTTTCCAGAAATATCAAGTTTAGTCCCTAAGTTCAAAAAACCTCACAGATGGTCCCTGTGGTTTCAAAACTTTTAACAAATGGTCCTTCCGGCTCACTCCGTTAGCATTTCACCGTTAACTTATTTTTTAATAAAATATTGCAGGGGTAATTTCGTCATTTCAGGTGTAACCTTCTCTCTTTAAAAGAAATGCATGTCCGATTTTTGGGCAAATCCTTTAGCTTCATCAGTCGATCATCTCTCCTCCTTTCCACTGTTGCTCGACCGTTGCACCCTTCACGACATCCAATCGCTTCTGATTCAAAGATGGTGACTTGCAGATGTGGGAATGAAGCAACGAAGATCACTTCATGGAAGGATCATAACCCTGGAAGACAATTTTGGAACTGTAGAAGATGTGGTTTTATTCGATGGTCTGATCCCTCTATGTGTGCTAGGGCATTGGTGGTGATTCCAGGTTTGATAAGATCAATGAATCGATTGGAGGAGAGGGTCGCCATTGTAACTGCAAAATTGTAGAACTACCAGTTGATGTTGTTTTGTTCATGGGTGTTTTTTTTTCGGTATTATTTTAAGCTCTAAGTATCTTGTGAAGGTTTGGATGGTAATGGAGTTTTGGTTTTTGGTTTGTAACCATTGCATGTTTTTTTTTAATCGGATAGGTTTTTTGAAATGTTTTTGAAATGCAATTGTTAAGTGTATTGTAAATGCATCTTGAAGATGGTTTTCATTTGTAATTGAAATGTACAATGTTATTAATTGATCTGTGAAGGGTAGTACACAAACCATATTAATTCATTACTAAAAAGTGCATACACACCATTACATTCAAAGTTATAAAGTTCTTAACACAACCATGATGCAAAGTTTTCAAAAGACCTACAACACAAGCATTACATGCAAAAATTTCAAGTTCTTAACACATCTTCAAACAAGTACACATGACATAAGTTTCTAAATACCTACAACACCAGCATCCTAATAACCACTAAGTTTCAGCCCCCTCCAACTTCACCACTACCTCCCTGCCCTTTACATGTTCTGGAATTATGCCTTTTGTTATGACACTTTGAACAAGTGACTGCCAAATATTTCTTGCTCAATCTACCAGCTTGGCTGTTTGGCTCATCAACACCCCTCCTTCTCTTCTTCTTAGGCCTCCCAACCTACACATGTTGATATATTATAGTTAAAATTGAACTCATTCCATGTTCACATGTATACTATATTTTTGGTGTACTTTAAATATAAACCTGTGTCTTATGTTTTGGTGGAAGTAAAGTGAATGGGCAGTCACTTTTAGGCCACATTGTACGTCCATTCAATGGATCAATTTTGTTGAAATACATGGCTTTCCATGTTGATAACCTATAGCAAGGATGGACCCATTCATCAACATGTGGGGCATTTTCACCATTTTCAATTTTGTCCCATATAGCACAAACAACATGTCTACATGGGAAACCTGTAATCTCCCAAAACCTACAATTGCAACCTTGATCATTCAAGTTTACCACATATTGATCTTGCCATGTGCTTGCCACTTGGTACTTCCCTGCCCCATTGTATTTAGCCACATACTTTGATGCATCAACCTTAATCTTTTCAAACAGTGTAGTTGCAGTAGGGGTTAGAAGTCCTTCACACTTATCTATTTCCTTTTGCACCACACATAACCTCTTCATGAAATACTCTCTAATATACTCTAAGCAAGTGATAATAGGTTTATCCCTACCTTCATCTAGCTTAGAATTGAATACCTCACAAAGGTTATTCAACAAACAATCAGTATGTGCCCTTCCTGAATAATAGATATTAACAGAAGACAATTACATATATAGTAAACACACAACAGGGAAGATTAACATTTTTCAATAAATTTCTAGAAACTTACCACTAAAGTGAGATTTAGCCCAAGTGTTTGCTGGGATCTTAGACACCCAAGCATGAGCCTCTGCATTGATCTTCTTCAACTCATCCATTGCTCTGTTAAAATGATTGACTGTTGTTGCTCTACCACACTCCCAAAGCTGGTCACTTAAGTCTTTTCCTTTCCATTGTTTCTTCATGTTTTCCTGGATATGCCTCAAACAGAACCTGTGTTCTGCACTAGGGAATACCTTCTCCATTGCTGGTATTATTCCCTAAAAAAAGTCAATGTATGCAACATTAGTTAACCAAATGTATTTAGAAAAGGTAATAAAAAAAGTTAGGTGGTACACACCTTTTGTCTATCTAAAATGAAGGTAAAGTTTGAATTTGGTCCCAGATCCAGATCTTCTCCTAACAGTTCCAAGAACCAGGTCCAGATACTTGTTGATTCTGTCTCTACCACTGCATATGCTACAGGGTATATGCCATTGTTTGAGTCCAACCCTACAGCAGTTAACACTTGCCCAGGGTAAGGGCCCTTCATGAAAGTACCATACAGACCTAGAAAATCTCTTAATCCAGATTTGAATCCTAACTTCAATGCACCTAAACAAACATATATTCTTCTAAAAGTTCTTGTGGTAACAGACAGGGAGGTTTCTGGATACACATCAATCCGAACTGTTGTACCAGGATTAGTGTTGAGTAGCTCCAACACATAATCCCTCAAAAATCCATACTGTACTTGGTAGTCCCCACTAATGATACGCTCAGCCATTGACTTTGCCCTAACAACCTTTTGCAATGACATTCCTACCTCCAGTTTCTTGCACAACTCTTCGTGTAAAGCTTTCACTGGAATTTTAGGGTTACTTTGTATTTGTTGAACAATTAAGTTTGCTACGTATCTGGAAGTGCAAGCTTTAACCGCCCTTGTTTGCAAACATTTATGCTCATCCTGTACTGTTTTCACCAACTAATCCTGATTTTCATTAGCCCTCGATATTTGGACTGCCCATGGACATGTACCTTTATTGGAAATTACATCTTTACCCGTGCACTTTGCCCTACTTCTGGTTAAGGGCCCACCACCATCAACTCCTGTAGAAGGCTTACTTACAACACCTTTACATTTCACCCTAATCCGGATTTTGTCATTTTTTGCTAGGTATAAAGACCTCCTTGTTGCTACAGCATGTGAGTTCATGTAGTTTTTAACATCAACCTTGGTTTTGAAGACCTGACCAATCTGAAATGGTTTAACATGAACCTCTCCATGTGAGCATGTACTTGACTTACTCAACTCTTTTAGCAGTCTCTTCCTATCATCTTCATGAAATCCTGCAAATTGATAATCATCAGTGGCAATAACTTCCAACTCATCATCAACCACTCCAATCCCATCATCTTTTGAATGATTGTTCAAGATTCCATGTTCATCCACATCAACAACATTATGGAATTCACTCATGTCTACATCTACATCAAATTGTATGTTAGACTCATCCACATTGTATTCACTGTCATCCGAATCATCTCCACTATCCTCAGAACCATGGCCACTCTCAGAGTAGAAAGCCTCTCCACTATCATCACTCACCATACCCTCTAGATAATCCACTTCTGGTTGTTTTTCAAATGAAGTTTGAACATTAAACTCAACATCATAATCAGCATAAAGTGAGTAATCCTCTACAAATGGTTCATAGTCATCAACTGTTGTAGTATTAGCTCCATCATCAGCTTGGCAGCTTGGTTCCTGTACATGGTAAGTTCCCAATTGTTCTTCAGTTTCAACTGCACTAGTGACCACTTCTTCTTGAGTTTCAATTTCATGATTCACCAATTCCTTTTGAATGACATGAATTTGTTTACCTTGTGACCTTATAAATGGTAGAATACTCTTTGAGTAATCATGGCCTTCATCAACATCTAACACTTGTGACTACTCATAATCAGGGTTCATAGACTTGTTTAGATCAAGCTTTCAACTACATGATCCTGCTTCTCTCCTATAAGGTTTCTTTCTATTCATTTCAAGTGACACAGTATCAGGCTCCAACTCTTTAATAACAACTTTAGAAGGAGACTTGTAATAACTAGCTACCCTTGTCTGACCAGTTTCAATATACACCCTAATAAGTCTGTGTTTAGGGACATATGATACCATTTTAAGTACATCTTGATCATTACCTAAAGGCATTAAGCCATAGTCCAAAGGGTATTCAGGGATACAGAAATGGTAGTAAAGGGTTTGCTCAGTTTTGTACCCTAGTTCTCGAACCATGTTGTCAAGCTCATGAACTGAAAATAAATCAGTGTCAACATAATCTACATATGCTACAACACCATCAACGTATTTCCTTCCAGGTGCTTTGGTGAAGACACCACTGTAGTGTATCTTCAATGTGAAATAGTTGTCATAACCTTCTGTAAACACAAAAAAAAGAAAGAGTAAAATCAATGATTTCCTTACGTCAACACAATAGACCAAGAAAAAACAAGTTTTGTTGTAATATTGTACCGTATGTTTTTCCTAAGTTCTCCACGGTTACAAATTTTTCTCGAAAACACCATATTGATAGCACCATTGCAATTTCTGCAGCTTAAAACCCTAAATCCCAATTTCTGTTCTTGCTTCTACGATGGGAATGAACCCGATGACTAAACCAGTAACTGGTTATCTTCTTAGGAGAGGGACGGGTAGTGATGTGCAAGCAAGTAATCATTTCATATTAAAGAGACAAGGTTACAACTGAAATGACGAAATTACCCCTGTAATATTTTATTAAAAAATGAGTTAACGGTGAAATGCTAATGGAGTGAGCCGGAAGGACCATTTGTTAAAAGTTTTGAAACCACAGGGACCATTTGTGAGGTTTTTTGAACTTAGAGACTAAACTTGATAATTCTGGAAACCACAGGGACCAGTTTTGAAGTTTTGTCTAAAGTATAATACAATAATTATAAGACAAAATTGCAAAAATGGTCCCTGTGGTATGCAAAATTTTGGGGTTTTAGTCCAAACCACGAGTTTTTTGGAACCATAGTCCTTTTGGAGTGGTTTCTATGTGGTTTTGGTCCCTGGACTTAACTCTCGTTAAGTTGGAACTGTTAAGCCCCCTCACGTGCCTCACACGTGAGGGTAATTTCATCCTTTCATGTCAGGGACCATTTTTGCATAAACGGTTTTTTGGATTAATTGACATTTACCCCTCATTTACTTTCCCCAACACTCGTCAACTCCCCAACTCCCTCCTTCTTGCTTCTGCTCCATTGAACCTGCAAAAAACCCTCGTTGCTTATCTAAACAAGATAATCGACACTACACATATAAGGGCATACGTTTAATAGGAAATGGTGTTCGTAATGTGGCATATCAGACCAAAACACGAAGTTGTTGATGTATCAACTGTATATGGTAAGCTGCTCTGTTTTCTTTAACTTTTATACTTTGCATTTTCTTATTGATTTAGAACAAAAAAATGCAAAATTTTAACTTTGTTAATATGTATAATTTTGATTTTTAGCTGGTGCACCCACATGGTTTAGTATTAAGCTTCATCACGGTGGGAAATTTACTAAATTACCTGATATAAAGTACATTGGAGGTGAAGTGCATTATGTTGATTATGTGGACATTGATGAGTTTTCTGTGCATGAACTTGATGCCATAATGCTTGACCTAGGTTACCCAGACCCACGGAATTCTGAATTCGCTGATCAATCCCCAGTTATATACTACCATTTTAGGATACCCAATGGTGACTTTCAATTTGGTTTTAGAGCTTTAGGGAATGATCAGGATGTGATCAACCTTTCTAAATATATTGCACATAACAAGCTGATTGAGGTGTACACAGAGCATGGAAAGACAAATTTATTGACTTACTTCATGTCACCAAATGCAAAGGGTAAAGTTGTCATTGAGGAATTACCAGAAAATGATGATCAAGGGGCTGAAGTTGAGGGTCAAGTTCATGCAGATTCTCCAATGAAAAATGTGAACCATGGTAATGGTGAGCCTATTGGTGAGTTCATGTCTCTGATTCTTTTTGGGAGTAAGAATGATAGTTTCTCACCAGAGTATAGAAGGGGTAGGGTTGGGAATTCCAAAATAGGTGAAAGTTCTTGTAGCAAGAGGCTTAATTTAGATTATATTGATGAGGTTGTTCACATTTCAAAGGAAAAGAATGATGATCTGGATGGTTCAACTAATGTTCAGGAGGCAGCAACTTGTGTTCATATTGATGAGATGGATGGTGTTAGGGAGGCTGCAAATGTTGTTCAAGAGGCATCAACTTTTGATGAAGAAGGCTACAACACCCCCTGTTAATAATGCTGATGAACAATTGAATGAGTTATTTGATAACCTTATGGAAAATTTGATTGGGAGTGATGATGATAATGCAGAGTATGAAGGGGATGGAGAATCTGAAGAGGGTAATCAAGAGTATGAAGAGGATGATGAATCTCAAGAAAGTGATCCAAATTTTGAAGAGTATGATGAATCTGAAAATAGTGATCCAGAGTATGAAGAAGATGAGAGACAAATAGAAGATGAAGATCATATGGATGACATAATGGATGTTGACAACAATATACAGGATGTGGATGTGGACATGGGAGATTTCACTCTCAATGTTGAAAGTGATGTGGAAGGTTCTTGTATAAATGTTGTTCATGGGAATGAACCTGAAGATATGGAAGTGATTAACAATGAGGAATTTGAATCTTTGGATGAAGGATCCGACCAAGACAGAGAGAGAAGAGCTCTTATCAAGAATTTGAGAAAAGAAAAAAGGTGCAGTCTTGGGGTAGTACATAAACAATCTTTTTCAGTTGGAGATAAATTTAATAGTAAAAAGAATTAAAGGAGGCAATTGATCTGCATGCACTAGAATCAAGAAGGAATCTTTTCTTTAAAAAAAATGACAATGTAAGGCTTAGGGAACAGTGTAGAGGTGTTGTACCTGTCACCAATAAAGGCCAAGTGGGTAGTCAAGCTACCACTTCAAAAAGAAAGGGTAAAGAATTGAAGACACAAAAAGTAACATGTGGTTGGTACATTCATGCATCTAGGTCAAATCCTGAATCCGACTGGTTTATAAGGACCTTAAACCAAACTCACACATGTTTGCAAACAAGGAAACTCAGGGCTTGTACTGCTTCTTTAATCAGCAAGAAAATCTTTGATCAAGTTGAGGCGAATCCAGATATACCTTTGAGAGCCATACAAGATCACTTTCAAAAGACCTACCAAGTGGGTGTTAGTATGGACAAGGTGTTCAGGGCAAAGGATAAGGCAAGAAAGCATATAACTGGTGACTACACAAAGCAGTATGAACTGTTGAGGGACTATGTTCTCGAACTTCAAGCCACCAACCCAGACACCACAGTGAAAATAGATGTATGTTCTAAGCCTAACCCTGATTCCCCAACTAGGCAGTTTAGAAGAATTTATGTGTGCTTGGGTCCACTGAAAAAAGGGTTCAAGGCATGCCTTAGGGACTTATTAGGTTTTGATGGTGCCTTCATGAAAGGACCATTCCCTGGGCAAGTCCTTTCAGCAGTTGGTCTTGATTCCAATAATGGAATTTACCCATTAGCATATGGGATTGTTGAGTCTGAAAACACAGAAAGCTGGAAATGGTTTTTAGATAACCTTGGGGATGACTTGGACCTTGGAAGAAACTCAAATTTTACTTTCATAAGTGACAGGCAAAAGGTAAAGTTGGAAGTAGTTTTATACATTTGGTCATTTAAAGTGTGGTTGTAAGTTAATTCTAATGATTGAAATTAATTTTTGCAGGGTTTACATACTGCAGTTGAGCAAATTTTTCCCAATGCTGAGCATAGATATTGTATCAGACATATTCATGATAATATGAGGAAAAGATGGAGGCAAACAGAGTACAGGGACCACTTATGGAGGTGTGCATCAGCTACCACCATTCCTGAGTTTGAACATTTGATGAAGGAGTTTAGTCAGTATGATAAGGAGGCATGTGAATGGTTGAAGCAAATTCCTCCTAAACATTGGGCAAGGAGTCATTTTTCAGGTAAATCTATATATTCCAATTTGGTCCTTATGTCTTTCACTTAGTGAACTGTTTTACTTGTATGTGAATTGTATTAAATGTTTTTTAATTGTAATTTACACACAGGAAGAGCAGTTTCTGATGTGTTGATATCAAACATGTGTGAAGTGTTTAATGGGAAGATAGAGAAAGGAAGGGATAAACCTGTCATTGGATGTTTAGAATTCATAAGGGAGTATCTAATGAAGAGGATATGCAATGTCATGAAGGAAATGAAAAAGGCTAAAGGTCCACTAACACCCACAGCAACAGACATCCTAGCTGCAAGAAAAACAGTTGCTTCACAATACATTGCTAGGTGGAATGGGGGAGACAAGTATCAAGTCACAGGAGCTTTGCAGGATCAACATGTGGTTGATGTTAGGAACAAAACATGCACTTGCAGAAAATGGGAATTAATTGGAATTCCATGTACACATGCAATTGCAACTCTGAATGAGATGAGTAAAGACCCAGAGGCTGAGCTTGACATTTACAAATGGGTTCACAAGGTGTATTTTCTAGAGACATGGAAAAAGGCTTATTCTTTTAAGGTGGAGCCAATTAAGGGTAGATCCATGTGGCCCAAAAGTGAATGTCCCACAAAGCTAATCCCTCCTCCACATCGCACTCAGGTGGGAAGGCCTAAGAAAAAGAGAAGACAAAGTGAGGGTGAAAGGTTAAGCAAAAAGCAGAAGGCAAGTCAAGGTGATGGAGTGAATGCTGCACAAGAAGGAGGTTCCCAAAAACCAACAAATGATGGAGTGCAGAAGCTATCAAGGAAGCATATCAGTGTTACTTGTAGCAAATGCAAGAACAAGGGACACAACTCTAGGACCTGTAAAGGGCAAGGTGGGAATCAATCCAAGAAGTAATGTGTCATGCATGCATGGAGTTTTTTGTGATTTTGGTTGGTTATGAAAACTTGGTTGTTAAATTTTCAATATTTTGTTGATAATTTTTGGTTGGTTGTTATGAAAACTTGGTTGTTATCTTAGGTATGGTAATGTGTCCCTTTTGGTAATGTTTAGAATCTTTGGTTGTTATGTTTAGAAACTTTGGTTGTTATATTACAAATCTTAATGAAATATGCATTTTGGTTATGTACAATTGGTTCTAATATATATATTTTGGTAACAAATTCATACCATTTCTATTCATATGTTAATTCTTATACATTCATACCATTTTGGTAAAACATTTATTACACTTGCATCATAAAATTGTACATATATCATTATCATCATAAGTCACTACAAACTTGATCACATAAAATTACAAAAAAATGACCTAAACACCCTTCAGAGTATACCCCTACATAAACCAAATATAAAAGAATACAATCACAAAGAAAAACCAACTTCCAAACATGTACATTTTTAGCTTCAAATTATCATCCTTCAATGCTCTGACATTTGCCACCAAAATGTTGTTCTTTCATATCAGTCCATTGCATTGATCCTGTAGCATGTTCATACCTCTAACCAACTCATTGCACCGTTCCTGCACTGAATTCAAATTTCTTAGTAGACCAGGTATGATGGCTTTAGACCTAGCACACATTGGGGGATCAAGCCACCCAATAAACCCACAAACGGAATCATTCATAGGGCATGCAAAAAATCTCCTTCCTGGATTTAGAGGGGTCCAAGACGTTTTCACCATAGCAACTTTTCCACAAAAACATAGCACCATTTTTGTTGTAGCAGAGCTCAAGAAGAAGAAGGGTAGAAGAAAAGAGACGTTGGGGAAGAAGATCGCAGGAAGTGGGGGTATTTAAAAGGAATTAATCCAAAAAACCGTTTATGCAAAAATGGTCCCTGACATGAAATGACGAAATTACCCTCACGTGTGAGGCACGTGAGGGGGCTTAACAGTTCCAACTTAACGGGAGTTAAGTCCAGGGACCAAAACCACATAGAAACCACTCCAAAAGGACTATGGTTCCAAAAAACTCGTGGTTTGGATTAAAACCCCAAAATTTTGCATACCACAGGGACCATTTTTGCAATTTTGTCTAATTATAAACGTTAGGCGTCATATATGAGAGAGAGAGAGATAATTTTTTTTCTATGCCGGTTGATAAAAAATATTATCTTAAAAGAGTATGTGTATGTATAGTTTCAAAAAAGTACATATATGTATAATCACAATATATTATAAAGTATAATACAATAATTATAAAAGTTAGATGCCATATATGAGAGAGAGAGAGAGAGAGAGAGAGAGAGAGAGTAATGGGTAGAAAAATGTGAGTAATGGGTAGAAAAAAAACCGGGACTCCTAATAAAAAATAAAAGTAGGTGTATGTGTGTAAATTAAAAACCTAGAACCGTACGGTAGACTTATGTGTCCATTAGATTGGTGTGTGAAAAAAAACCTTATAGTTTTAGGAGAAAAATTAATAATTACGCTTAAAATGTTTTAAAAAGTTTAAATTTTCCAAAACAAAACAAAATTATAATTAAAACATTTTGAGAGAGTTGTATTTTTGGAAACTTTTGACCTGCTTATTTTCATACAAGAGAAAGAGATGAAAAACTCAAATCTTTTCAGAAAATAGGGTGCGTTTTAGGTGCCACAATGTTGCAGTTCTCAAGCCCACATGTGTATCAAACCACATCACTCACGAATCACCTATGGACCACAATGGTGAAGTCTGAAGAACGAACGTACTCGACTCGACACTCGACCATGGCCTACAATCACAACCCGTTTCCCGAATCATCTTCGAGCAACAAAAAGTTAGCCGGAAAGCAACAATTCAGCCTCTTTCATGGTTCACATCTTAAAATGAACCACCACACTTCACCTCCAAAAGTCAACCAACAGTCACAAACACAGATACAGCCACAAACAAGTCAATCAACAGTCACAGACACAGACACAGCTACAAACAAGTCAATCAACAGTCACAGACACAAACACAAACACACCACAGACAGTTGTTAGTTTTGAAGGTAATAGCAGCGGTAGCTATGAAAAGTTGTTCTGCGATGGGTATCCACCATCGACGACGGCTAGGGTGGTGTAACCGGTGGTGTAGTCATCAGACTGTGCTCTCTCTCTTCTGTCATCGTCACCTTCACAGACATCTTGTACGACATTAAGCCATGTGATGCACCCGTCTAACTCGTATGGGGCTCCATCAAATCCAATGGATCCGGGTGCGGGTTATGGTGGTCTTGAGTCGATTATGGATCCTAATGGAAATGGGAATGATTATGATGGGATGATTCAGATAGGAATTCATCATCATCAACATCAACATGCATCGCCTGATACTAGAGCTCCCCAAACACTTCCGTTCTACTGGGAATAAGTGTTGGTAGTTGAACAAGTGATGATAAATTTCAAAGTGTTTGTAGTTTGTATGAGATTTGATTTGATTCGATTTGGTTTAACAGTCACGTTTTGTAGTTGTTTGGAAGGTTAGCAAAATTTGTTGATTGAACTTTAAGATGATGGTGATCCCTTTTAACAAAATTTTATTGAATGTCCTCTCTTATCGCTACAGTTAAACATAATGGGCCCAAAAGGCATTGTTTCTACAAACATTGTTGAACCTTGAAAGTTGAAGGGGATAAATCAAAATTCAAAAAGGATGCGTTTGGTTGTGGAAAACTGTTTTCATTTTCTATTAAAATATTTTCAGAAAATAAGGTTGAGTTTTCATTTTCAATTTTCAATGAAAACGCGTTTGGATGGAACGGATGGAGTTTTTATTTTTTATCTTAGAAATTTTGAAAACTTTGAAAAACTGTAAAAATCACTTTTCTAATTTACATATAATTTGGAAAACTGAAAATTTTCATTTTTTTTTAGAAAACTTCGGAAAATTGAACGAACCAAATGTGTTTTTAAAATTTCTATTTTTCTTGAAAATTTTTCCTAAAAAACTGTAAAATTTTCCACAACCAAACACTCTTAGATTTTAAATTTCACATTTTCCATGCCTTATTTCATGTGTAATCTAAAGTTCTAAGATAATACATGTAAAACAAATAATTAAGAAAATCCACCACTCAACAATTGATGCGTGGAGTGTCAACGCCACAATCAAGATAAATTTTAATATCTTAAAAGCGTGTGTGTAGTGTGAAGTGTTACTTGATTGATGTTCCATCTTAAAATCATCTTCTTCACTAGTGACAAATAGCAAGTATTTTCGATGATAAACCGTGGAAATTGGTTTTAACCAATTTATAAAAGTCGGGTTTCACCATTTTTAACACGAAATTTGAACCCTAAAGCATTATTAAATGATTATATGTTTGTGTTCTCCTCCATGATACCTTTATTTTGGAATATCACATGTTCAAAACAGATTTAAGATGAATGAAAAAATAATCCTTAACCACTAGAATACCAAAACTCTCTTATTATCCGGTTTATACTCTTAGTTTTTCTTGTTTATATCAAATGTATAATCCAGGCCTATTGAAGGTTCCGGTGGTCTTGAAGAATCACTTCAAATTGTTGTATCCTCGAAAACAAACACTCAGTAGCATGCAAATTTATTTAAGGACAACGTGTTAAACACATGCCTTTGTTTTTCTGCTTTATTGTTTGTTTTCGTACATTTCTATAATATTATTTCTACAATCTTAAAACAAATTCGTTTGTACGAAACGAACAAAGAAACGATTTTTTTATTTATTGTTTTACCTATTGTTCGATGATTTTCACTGCAACTAAAGAAAAAATATTGATCTTTATATATTCTTCATCAGAAAGATCAAATTTTTACCAAACAAATTTTTTTATTGTTTTACCGGTTTGTTTTCGTACATTTCTGTAATAACAGATTTACCTCTAGGGACCATTTCTGAAGTTTATCTTTTTACAAAACTACAAAGGCTATTTCTGTAATTTTTCTTTTTCATTTTATTGAATTATTATATATTAATTCTTTTAATTATTTTTTTAAATTTATTTCTTATTGTATTATTTTTATTGGATTATTATATATTAATAAATCTTATTTTTAATATATTATATTTATATATTAATAATTATTTATTATTATTATAATAATTTTTAAAATTATTATTATTTTTTTAAATTCTTCTTTGTTTGATTTATTCTTTTGTATTGGATTATTATATATTAACAAATATAACTTTTTACTATATTATATTCATATATTAATAAATACTATTTTATTATATTATTATTTTTTAATTTCTTCTTTATTAAAGTAATTCTATATAACTCTTATCTATTAATAAATATTATTTTATTGGCTTATTAATTTCTACTAATTATTTTTATTACGTTAATTTTTTCATTGGGTTATTACTTTTAATTTATTTTATTTACATATAACAATTAATTTTATTAGGTTAATAATTTGTACCGTATAATATTAATTCTTTTTAATTTTATAGGTTCCATCACAAAGTCGTCAGAATATGTAAATGTGCCGACTCCCATCGTCGAAAATCGACAAGACAACCGCCAATCACTTTCATCGATGGTTCGACGAAAACCCCACCAACTTGTTACACTCAATGCCGTCAATAGCCACCTATGACAACCTCATCGCAATATGTCGGAATCCTCCATATCTGCCACGAAGACGACCATATTCTGTTATAACCACCAGGAGGTCCGATCTAAATAGTCCTAGTCAGCTCCTCCATCCGTTGCTTTCTACCACCTTGCGTCGTCATATCATCTCGCTAGAAATCTATGATCATCTCCTACAATGGACCATTCTCGATGAAAACTACATCGGTCGACTTCCCACATAATGTGCAACAAACCCCAGAAAACATACAACCTCCAACCGACAATTCGTTACTGACATTGCCATCGATGGCGACAATGTTAAATCGAGGGTTTTCAAACCCCCATAGCCACTACATGTGGT